CGGTTAGAAAGAAAAGATACTTATTATGATCAGTCTTTTTAATTTTGTTAAGAATTATTTTGAGACCTAACACTTGATCTTCCTAGAGAATTCTGTGTCTATGTGCACTTGAGAAGAATATATATTCTGATATTAGTTGAAAACTTCTGCATGTGTCTATTAAGTGCAGTATTTTAATTCAAATAAACTTCTAAAATTGATTTTTTCCCTGGATGTTCTACTCATTATTTAAAGTAGGGCATGGAATTTTCCTACGATTACTGCTTCCCCATTGATTTCTCCTTTGGATAAGTCTTTGTCTTTTATACCTGGATGGTTTGATGTTTGGTACATATATATTTAATACTGTTATGGCTTTTTGTTGAATTGACCCTTTATTCATCATGTAATGATTTTCTAGACACAAAAATGAAAATACTATATGATCACATTTATGTAAAATCTAAGAAAGGTTGACTACATATAAATAGAAAAGTAATTAACAAGGGCAAGGAAGGGAGGAAATGAAAAGATGTTGTCAAAGGGTAAAATTCTGCAGTTATCTAAGATAAATAAGGCTCAGAGTGTACAACCCTAGGTATGTAGTTAAAATATTTCCTCTACAATTTGTAGAGGAAATAGATTTTAGGTGCTCTTAACAAAAAAAGGGGAAGTAACCTGTAAGTTAAAGAATATGTTAATTTTCTTGACTCTGGGAAATATCTCATTGTTATACATATTAAAACATCACATATATAGAACATCATGCTGTGCCGGCTGCGGTGGTGCACTCCTATAATCCCAGTGGCTCAAGAGGCTGAGGCCAGAGGCTGAGGTTGTTCAAAGCCAGTCTCAGCAAAAGTGAGGCACTAAAGCAACTCAGTGGGACCCTTTCTCTAAATAAAATACAAAATAGGGATGGGGATGTGGCTCAGTGATCGAGTGCCCCTGAGTTCAATCTCTGGCACCAACAAACAAACAAACAAAATAAACATTATGTTATATATTATGCATAAATAAATAAATAAACCAAAAATAAAAGTTAGGTTTCCTACTTGAACATTAGTGTAAAACACTTTAAAGGAGAAAAAAAAAAGCCAGTAATCTCAAAATATATAGAAAAGAAATATTTGAAAAAAATATCATTTATAATTTAAGAAGAAAAACTCAGCAAACTATGAATTAAAGGGAACTTCCTTTACCTAATAAAGTATATCTGTAAATAACATATAGTTAAGTTGATACTTAATGCTGAATGTCAGAATAATTTCCCATAAAATTTGGGAGCAAAACAAAATGTCAATTCTCACCACTGTTATTTGGTATAACACTGGAAAGTTTGGCCAGCAGAATAGGCAAAAAAAAAAAAAAAAAAAAAAGGAAATTAGATGAGTAAAGAAAAAAAGTGAAAAGAAGATAGAAAGCAATCTCTTTCTGTAGACGACACAATTGTTTACATTGGCGATCTACAAAAATCAACTAAAAGCTCCTGGAATTAATAAATGAGTTTATTAAGTTCACAATATTACATTTTTTATATTTGAAAACAAATTAGATTTGTATACACTAGTAATGAACAACTAGAAATTGGAATTTTAAAATTACTACTTAAAATAGAAGAAACAATAATGCTTAATGTACATCTAAAATGTGCAAAATGTATATGCTTAATTATTCAAAATGTTGATGAGATAAATTAAACAAGACCTAAACCAGTGGAAGATGAAAAGTATATAGGGACAGAAGACTCAATATTTTAAAGATTTTTATAAGAATTCATTCCCAAATTAGCCTAATGATGTGACACAATTCCATTAAAAATCCAGAAGATATTTTAGAAGATGCTAATAACTCTAAAATGGACTATATGTGAAAATGCAGAGGAATACTACAGACAAATCAATGTGGGAAATATTAAAACAAAATTGGACAATTCATACTCTAATCTCAAGACTAACTATAAAGCTACAATATCAAGACAATGTCCTACTGAAGAAAGAACAGACACATTGACAAAACAGATGAAAGAGTCTAGAAAGAGTTCAACATATATGGTCAATTGATTTTGTCAACAGTTCAGAGGCAATTTCTCAAGAAAGTTTAGTCTTTTCAACAGAGAGAGTTAGAAAAATTGAACATATCCACATGTAAACAAGTGAACACTGAACCACTCTCACATTTTTTAATTTATTTTTCTGCTTTGTTTATTTTTATTTTTTATTAGAGCTTTAATAATTAATTGAGTTCATCCCCACAAATGCATACATGCATGGGATTCAATTTTATTTTGCATTCCCCCCATTTTCCTTCCTCTTTTTCCCACCTGTCCTCTGTCCTCTCCCCCGTTCTCCTTCCTCTACTCGGCTGGACTTCCTTTTGCTCATCTATTTATTTATAATTGATTGGTTCTTTTTACTTATGCACAAAAGTGAAGTTCCTTGTGTTCTATTTATATATGCACTTAACATGATTTTATAAGAATTCATTCCACATCACCTCCCCTTTCCCACTCCTCTACTCTGTTTCTCAGTCTTCTTCTTCTGCATCACTGATCTTCCCTGTATCTTATGATACCCATCCCTCTGCTGCACAAAAGTCAAATCAAAATGGATCAAAGACTTAGGAATTAGGCCAGAAACCTTGCAACTACTAGAAGAAAACAGAGAGTCAACACTACATTACATTGGTGCTGGCACCAAATTCCTTAACAAGAGCCCCAAAGCATAAGAGCATGAGTAATAAAACAAAGCATCAATAAGATGAATGCCATCAAACTAAAAAGCTTCTGTACAGAAAAAAAAAAGATTAAAAGTATGAAAAGAAAGTCAAGTAATGGGACAAAATCTTTGCTAGCTACTCCTCCAATAGGATAGTAATATCTAGAATATGTAGACTCAAAAAACTTAATGACAACAACAACAAAAACAAATAAGTCTATCCATAAATGGGCAAAAGAACTCAACAGAAACTTCTCAAAACAAGAAACACAAATGGCCAAGAAATATATGAAAAAATGTTCAACATCTCTAGCAATCAGTGAAAGCAAATCAAAACTTATGTTAAGAGTTTATCTTTATCCAGTCAGAATAGCAATAATCAAGAATACAAACAATAGTAAATTCTGGTGAGGATGTGGGAAAAGGGCATACTTACAGATTGTTGATGGGACTTCAGACTAGTACAACCACTCTGGAAAGCAGTCAGGAGATTCCTCAAAAAACTAGGGATGGGACCACCATATATCCCAGCTATTCTACTTTGGCATTTATACAAAAGAACTAAAATCAATGTACTACAGCAATAAATCTACCTCAATGTTTATAGCAGTACAATTCACTAACTAAATTCACAAATTAAATCATGGAATCCACCTAGGTGCCTATCAGTAGATGAATGGATTAAGAAATTGTGGTATATATACACAGTGGAACCCTGTAAAGGAAATTGAAATTATGGCATTTGCCAGTAAGTGAATGGAAATGAAGAAAACCAGGCTCAGTGAAGTAAGTCAGACTCAGAAACAAAGCTGGAATATTTTCTCATACATCTTATACAAAAAGCAACTAGAAATGGTTAAATCATAATTTTAAAACTTGAAACTATATAACTCCCAGAAATAAGCAAAACAGAAAGTTTTAGTGAGGCAAAGATTTCTTAGATATGACAAAACAACAGAAATCAAAACAAACAAAAATACAATCCATAAAATGAAAAATTGATTAATTAGCCTTCAACAGAGTTTGTAAAATCCTCTTTTATAAAAGATATTGTTCAGATACTGAAAAGGCAAACCATAGACTGTGTTAAAGTTTTTTTTACCTCATATATCTGATAAAAGATGTGTGTCTAGACTATGTAAAGAATACAAAACCCTAATAAAACTGGACAACATATTGAACACCACGTAAGATGTGCAGATATCAAAGGAAACATAAACATCAGTCATTGGAGAAATAATATTGAAATCATAATCTGATACTGCTCACACCTGTTAAAATAACTAAAAATTAAAAATAATAATTACACTGATTATGCCAAGTGATGGTGTAGTTAGAGAGCAACTGGAACCTTCACACATTTTTGGTGGAAATGCAAAATGGTACCATTGCTTCTGGAAACAGTTTGGCAGTTTCTCATATAGTTAAACATATGCTTACTGCACAACCTATAATCAAGGGCTAGGCATTTATCCAAGAGAAATTAAAACTTATGTTCACATAAAATCCTGAATGCACGTTTATAGTGGCTTTATTCATAATTGGTGAAACTGAAAACAACACAAGGGTCCTTCAACAGGTGAATGGAAAACTATTACATTGAAAACTGCTCAGTAAATATAAGGGGCAAAATATTGATTCATGCAATGATGTGGATGAATTACAACTGCATTTTGCTAAATGAAAGAAGGCAGATACAAGGGGAGACTTACTAGATTGTTCCATTTATGTGACGTTATGGGAAAAAAATACAGGACTAGATTCTTATCTGTGGTTACCGGGATCTGAAATTCAGGGAGAACTTAATACAAAGGAGCTCAAGGGCACTTTATTGAGTGATGGCAATATTCTATAGCACAATTGGAATGGTGCTTAATAATGCTTTGCTTTTATGAAACTCATAGGATGACAAATTTTATTGTATGTAAATTATATTCAATAAATGAGACCCAACTGACAATACCAAATGTTGGAGAGATGGACCCACAATATATCATTCCTGGAAATGTACTCTATTACAATCCCTTGAAGAAAAGTTTTCAGAGTTTATTTTAAAATTGAGTATACATCTACCATTAAACCAATAATTTTTACTCTTGGATGTATATCCAAGTGAAATAGAAACAAAAAGATTTGCACAAAAATGCTCATAGTAACTTTATTCATTAAATCCCAGATGAAACAACCCAAGTATCCACAATAGAAAATGTGAGAAGTTAACACAATGCACTACTCTTCAAAAAGAGAATGAATTATTCATATACACAATGTGGGTGAATGTCACAGACATTGTGAGGAGTCAAAGAAGCCTGCCACAACAAAGTACATGCTCTGTGACTCATACAAAACTCTGTAAGAGGCCAAACTCTTCCATTGTTTTAAATAATCAGACAAGTGGTTGTCTTGGGGACTGAGGTTTGACTAGAGAACACAAGGGATTTTTGCTCTGATACGTGATGCTCTGCATAGTGATAGAGAGGTGAGATTATGTAATTTTTTTTTTCTCAAATTGTACAGCTATCATTTTTCCATTTCAAATAATATAAATTTCACTTCAAAAATATTACAAAATAATGAGTGTGGGTTTTGTCAGTATTGTAGTACTAAAAGTGATATAAAATGATGATTTTGTGGAAATGACAGGTCCATAGAGATTCAAAATTGATTCCTAATATTATTCTACTTATTTTGCATATGCTTAATCATTGCCATAATAAAAAATATAGAACTTTGTTAAACTGATACTGTTGAAGAAGAAGGAAAGAAAAATGAAGAAAAAGAGGGAGAAATAGAGATAAAGAAGGAGAAAGATCATGATAGCTTTTTAAATGAGAATAGAAAAGACAGGTTAGAAGGGTGGAGAGAGTGGAGATATGTCAAGTAGTAGTTCTGAGAATGAATCATTGCATTTAACAATGTGAAAGTTATATTATGTATCTTAGTAAGCATAGATTCAATGAAATGGGGAGGACAAACACCTGATTGGAGAGAGAATATGAGAAGAATTACAGACAAGTTCAGACACTCTTAGAATCGTAGTAGTTTTGGTTTGCCTGGGACTTCAGTTAGCCACTTCATTTTGTAGCTGTGAAAGGGAAGCCCCTCCCAGTCAAGTTGACCAGAAAACTTAAATCTAGTTAGTAAGGAAAAGAGAGCTCACATATTATCTTACTCCCATTTTAAAATCTATACTTCACACAGGTTGCCTGCTTCTGAAAAAAATAAATGAGCTGATTACTATTATTTACTGTTAGTTAGAATCCAGAAATTCTTGATTTTTGAAGTAAAATATTTTTCCTTTGAATTCCCAATTCTGTTTTCCAGGTGTGGTCTTTTTCAAAGAGGTGGTGATCATTTGCCCCTCAGTTACAATTGTGCAAATACTATATCCAGCTATTCTTTGAACTATGAATGTCAACAAAAGTGCAACTTCATTATTGTATTATAGTCAAGTTCTTTTTCATGAACCTGACCCCACCAAAAATTATCTATGGTTCTAATTTTTTTTTCTCAGAGTGAGTTACATTTTGTTTTTGGATAATAAGAATTGAATTTCTCTTTTTAGTCAAAATCAAAGTATTCTGAAGGCTTCCTTTTCGACACCTCTTTCCCGTTTTTGATGTTTTCCAGAGAATACAGGCAGGTGAGTAATATCAAGTTTTGATGTATTTACCACCCCTGCTGAGTGTGATCTCATAGAAGAAAATGGAAAGAATAATCCACAGTGGTCAAGGAGCTAAAGACTGAACTTGATCCATAATTAAACAACACATTCACATGGCTGAGCAAAGAGCTTGCAGCTATAGTTAATCTCTGATGTTCTTTTACAAGGCTTATCTCCATTTGAAAGCTTTCTTTTAAAACATTTCTTTGGCAAGTAGTCTAAATTATTCACCACTTTCAATATTAATTTTTGTTATATGTATTCCTGTGCTGTAGTCTGTATGATGGGGTAGACACAGTTTATGGAGATTTTTAATTAAGGTTAGTAAAAGCCACCATGATAATAACAATAATAATAATAATAAATAGACACACGGCACACATGTACACTGTAGTTCTGGCTCATTAAATAGAATATGTAGCAAATAGCAATCAACGCATCGTTTCTTTAAACACTTTCTTTATAATACTATATACTACTTATAATATTTATTTTAGAGGTATATAAAGGATTTTAAGATGAAAAAGTCTAATTATGTAATTATGATTTGGGTCTTTCTTGAATATTTTCTTTGGAGGTATGTGTGTCATGAAAAAATATTAAGTAAAAAGAAGGCTCTGGGCATTAACAGACACTTTGTTTTTAATAATCCTCATCATATTCATTGCTGCTACCATATTAGCATATTGTCATTTCTGCTTTTACTTTTTCTTAAAAAAATCTATTTGCATAATTATGTGGAGTGCAATTTCCCAGGTTTTTCTGGGGTATGGAGTACTTAGCATTGCATATTAGTGTGGAAGATAAGCCACTATAGATATTCATGACTTTTTGAGATCTGAAAAGAAGATAATTGTATGTTTTCTTTCCTTTTTTCTAGTTTCTTTATGAAGAGGAAAGGATGGGAACATTAGAACAATAAAAGTAAAATCGTCGTATTTTTCTTCTGAAATGCCATGTCACATAAAATACATGCATACATATATATATATGTATGTATGTATATATATATATATATATATATATATATATATATTCAGGTTTTAATTTTTACTGTGATAAGGAATAGTCATATGTAATTATGACTATATCTTTCCATTTTCATTCAGAAACATAAGTAAACTATGAATACATAAGAAATATAAAAAGCTTATTCAAATAGTGGTCTAGTTTCTAACGATGCTTAAATAACAGACACCCAGACACACTCATGGGCACACAAATGGACACCCATACGTGATGAGTAGCCCACCAAAAACATTATTTCTTAAATGTATAATAAAAATTTAATTTAATGGAACTGTTCATTTACACCAATGTTTTGTGTGTATGTATATATTTATGTGTATGTATATGTGCGTGTGTGTGTGTGTGTATATATATATATATATATATATATATATGCCAGATTTACTTATAATAGACAGTTTTTTAATTGTGTGTAACAAAATTTAGGTTTTTTTTTCATTTTTTAGCAAAAATAGCCAATATGCTAAAAGATATTACAAAACAGTTGTAGGACTAAATTCATGGTTGAAATTCAATGAAAAATATGCAGAACCATATCAAAGGTTCAGTGTGATTAAGAAGTAACTAACCCTTGCTGTCATTCCCATCTGAGATACCAGGAATGTAACTTGATGACAAGCAATAACAAAATCTAGATGCATCTTTGGTTATCCATTCTAAACCAACCAACCAACTGAACAACAACAGCACAGCTAAACACAGCTGAGTTGATTACATTTCTTCCTTTGCACCTGAGGACTCAGGAATGCTTCTGCCTAGAGGATTCTGGGTCATGTGCCTATACACTAGTTGTGAGGTGAGTAAGAAACAAGTGCTCTTTGTTCCACCTCTGGGAAGATGAGACTTGTAACAGGAACTTTCTCAGTTGGAATGTACAGGTTTGAGTGTTCATATATAAAAATTATCCATCAAATATCTCTGATATTTTCCTTTTTTTATGTTTCATGGAACATAGCTAATGACAGATACTGAGAAATTATACAAGGGAGGTGAAATTCTGAGCACTGGCATGTCAAAAGAGGAATATTTTTAACTAGTATATTTCAGTTTTTTAAAAAATATTTGACTCCCTGCTAAGAAACATGAGGAAATATCACTCATATTTCCTCCCACATTTGCTCTTTTAGCCTCCATTTTTAATTATATTGTCATTTTAACATTTCCAAAAGTATAACATTCACATTAGCTTATATAACTGTAACGGCTTTAGTGCTTTATTCTTCAGTCTTGGTATCGATGGCTTCAGCTCTGACTATGGCTTTCTACAGTTTGTGTTTTCCTAAGTTCTTTGCTTTGTGTTATTACTTGTTTGGCTAATTTTCATTCTTCAGGAGTAAGAAGTTCTGCCTTTTACTTTAAATATGAAGGATTACTTTACTCAATAAAAATTTATTATTCTTAGTTTTCCTTAGAAATGTATAAATATTTCTACACTATTTCTACTATCAAATAGTTGAAAAAGTCCAAAGACCACTTTAAGTTCCTCTTTGTTTATAATTTTCTTCATTTATTCATGATTACCCATGATTCTTCCTTTATCCTTACAGACCAGGAATTTAAAAGAAAGTTGCATTTATATCAGTCGCTCCATATCAATTTTCCCAGAACATTATGAAACTCAGTCTGTAGGGTCAAGCCTGTAGTATTTTAGAAAAGTTTATTTCAACTGTGTACTTGAATTTTACAAAATGTGTTCTGTTCATAGAAACACAAGTTATATATATCCTTTTCTGTATCCACAATTTTCTTCAAAGTCATATGCATGTTTTATTTTTCATTTTTTTTACTATTATACTTATGTGATTTACTTCATTTTGGACATTGCTTTCAAAGATGGTGATTTTTATGAGACTTTTAAACATGCCTTTTAGAACATTCTTTTGTTGGTTACTTAGGTTTCTGTCCTAAGTTCTACAAGCTCACTTTTCAATGGTATCTTTTATATTCCTTTCTTTGTACGCTTTTATCTCTTTCCCATTTTTTAAGTTTAAAGTGATTATATCATCTTTAATTTCTATTTTTCTGATTTCACTTTTTTCTTAAATAATTCTTTTTATGCTATCTCTTCTTCATATCTCTTTTTAGATTCTTTTTAATCTTTTATAACAAGCATGTTTTAATGAATGGTTTTTATGTTAGAGCTTTTGTGGTTATTTGATGAGACACATCTGGAGGATCGTTTGCTTCTCCCTTTTGGTTTCTTAGTTGAGAGCTGGTTTCATACTCAGAACTGATCTCCAGAGAACAAAGGCCTTTGGTTTATATCTGCATTTCTAGCATGTAAGAGTGTTTTCAGACTTCTATTGCATGTCTTGAACCTTAGTGTGCATATTTCCCAGTGTAATTGCCAGGTCTAGAGATAACCTGCTGTATTTCCTAGTACTTACTATAGGGATCAGCAAACACTATAACCCATGGGCCATATCCAGCCTGTTGACTCTTTGTATGGCAGGTAAGCTAAGAATGTTTTTTTATAATATGTATATGGTAGAAAACAATCCAAAGAAGTGTGAAATTCAAATTTTAGTATCCAGAAGTGAAGACTTTGTAAAATCTAACCGGAGCCATTTATTTAAGTACTGTACTTTCATGCAACCACTGTAGAATTGAGCATCTCAACAGAGATACTATGACCTACAGAAGCTATTGCCACATAAAATATATATTATCTCGCTTTTTAAGTAAAAGGCTTGTCCACCCTTGACTTAAAGGAAGTAGGCACTATGGTTTGGATGTGAGATGTCCCCCAAAAATCTCACGTGTAAGACAGTGCAAGAAGGTTCAGAGGAGAAATGATTGGGTTGTGAGGGTCTTAAACCAATCAGCGATTTAATCCCCTACTAGAGATTAACTGAGTGGTAATTGAAGTGGTAGAATGTAGCTGGAGGAGGTGGGAATTGGGGCGTGACTTTGTATCTGGAGAGTGGAATCTCTCTGCTTTCAGATCACCATAATGTGAGCTGCTTCCCTCTGCCCCACACTCTACCATGATATTCAGCCTCATCTCGAGCCCTGAGAAATGGAGCTGGCCTTCTATGGACGAAGACCTCTGAAATCATGAGCCCTCAAATAAACTTTTCCTTTTTATGGTTGTTCTGGTCAGATCTTTTAGTCACAGCAATGAAGAAGCTGACTAAAACACTAGGCATTCTGTAATTCCCATTTTAGACTAATCCATAAGTATATAACATAAGCATGTACATGCTCATTTTTGAAGCATGTTCAGAGTGCTTATCTAGTCAGATCCTCTTTTAAAGAATTTAGCTTCAATGTACACAGATTATCTACATGCATCTGTGTTAGAGAAAAGTTGAGGGGCCTATGCTCACCTTAATATTTCTCTACATGTAACTCTCCAACTTTCTATATGCAATTCTATGACATATTGAGGTTTATGGCACTAAGTATATGCCTATAACCCTTTTATAAAACATTGCTCCTCTTAGCATGCTAATAGCTGCTTATGGAAAAAACATGTAGAGTCAAAATGAGCTTGGTGTGGATTAAAGATTGTGAAGAATCTAAGAAGCTGAAGGAGCCTGCAGCCTCTATTTTGATGTTGAATTCTGCTGTTCCTCCTCTTCCTCCTTCTCCTTCTCCTCTTCTTCCTCCTTCTTCTTCCATTTTGATATACTTTTTATCCCTTTTTTTCTAACTTCCTTATCATTCTGAAATATAAAATTAACTCTGTGTTGGGACATTTTTAATCTTTCTAGACAACACCTAGATCTAATTCTAGATCTAGTTCTAGATCTTACAATTGCTCTAGTTGATCATCATTAGTTTGGACACCATCTGACCTTTGGGGACATCTATACACTGTTCCTAATCACTAATTTTGATCATCATTTAACAATATTTGGCAAATGATTTAAAATATTTGTTTGTAATATTTTTCCTATTCCTCATATGATAGAATGTGTTCTTCTCTGTTCCTTTTTGTTGTTGTTGTGAAAAGACTTGAAAATGCAGAGGGAAGAAAAGTGTTTCCTTTCATTTTAAATTAGAAACTCTGTGCTATCTAAACACCCTGAAATTTTTTTAGAATACATACAATTGATCTTACTCTGTGCTCCTGAATGTAGTTTCTGTTCTGACATTAAACCATTAATGTTTTCAGCTGTGCAAGGATAATTGCTGATATTTAAACTTTGTAATTTAACATTCTTAGGAGTATTATTCCAATTGAATATTCTAGCTCATACTAATAAGAGTGGACAGCTAGGTCCTTTGTAAATACACCATCCATTTTTTTCTTTCAGTACAAAAAGATAATGTTGTCTTCCAAAGAAACCTGAATCATAATTTTGAAATACTTATCTCAATTCCTCAAAATCAGCTACCAAGAAATTGCTTTTATTTATTCTTTAAAACTAAGGTCAACTTAATCAATTTTTAAAAGTTGTAATGCTTTCCAGGCAGATTGGATATGCCTCCCCAAATATTCCTTAGACATTGAAGAAGCATGATTTTCACATGAAAATCTTCTGAATAAAGTTCATTGTGAATTCTAAGTTGTAGAGGGTTTCAGGATTTTCTTTTCTTCATTAAGTTTTGGAAAATTGTACTTGTTCGACAAAAAGTTTTAGGGATGGAAAGCTAAGTCAAAGGAATAAAATGCTTGAGGATGCCAATTGTACATAGGACAATAATTTAAAGAAAATAAAAATGGATCTCATTTAAGAAAAACTGCCTCAATGATAATAAATGACTATATTAAGCTATGGAGTCCTGAACTCTAGTGAAATAGATTCAAGTTCAAACAAATGCAATCTTTAGGCAGTTATTTGCTCTTAACCAGAGAAAAAGTCCAAATATTTACAGGAGAACGTGTACAGTGCATGGAAGTTGTTAAAAATTGTTTTAAACTTGTTCAGCATTTTAATTATTAATATCATTTTCTAAGAAAAGAAAATGTTAAAATTTTAAATATGAAGAGTCAAATGTTTGATTAGCTCCTTGGTAATTA